CCAAAAGATCAGAGGGCAACTTACACAGTTCCTTACAGGGGGCATGACGTTGGCAAGGCCCCTACATTCCAGAAAATGGATTTGTCAGACATCCAGGGTTAACCTGACTCAGGAAGACCAACCCACACTAAACTTCCAATAAAGTGATGCTGATATTTACACACTCATGAATTTTCCAACTCACAAATGACTGAGTAAATAACTCCCCAGCTGGCTGAAATAATTGTGTTCACCAGGATTTCATGATGATCAGGGTCCTGGGTGGAGCTGAGTATGTGTAAAAGGCGATGGATAGTCCTTCACTTGGTTACTTAACAAATGTTTATGGCATATCTACCTTGTGCCAGACATTATGTCTCAGAATAAAGAACACCTTCTCTAGGAACACACTACTGACATCCCTCACATTAGGTGTTGGTCATTTGTGGACAGAGCTGGAAAAACTGCCAAATTCTTGCCATTTGGGTCTACTTTTCCAGACTCCTTCCACACCATCTGCTTGTTATCCACACCTTCTATGTTACTGATACTGATTAAGTTACAGTTTTCTTTCACATTTAATTCAAAAGACTTGCCTAATTGATTTCTAACCCTATGAGACACCCTGACTTTTAAAACGACTTTTGGAGAGAGCTAATTTTTATCCATTTTGCATATAGCAGCTGTTAGTAGTCTATTTGTCAGCAGATAATGTTATCTCATTTTTTGTATTTCCAAGTTCGTGGACAGGGAGGGCAAGGAAGTACCCTTTCGTGACCTCTCCAGGTACTAAATGTGGTAAGATTGAAGGCTTTTTGTTCTGGAAACAGCAGCTGCAGATACCATTTATGAAGAAAATGTCCTACAGAATAAAAAACTTTCCTGTTAAAGTTCAGATGCAAAGCAAAATCTAGTCTTTACCTCATTATTTATCTTTTCAATGACGCAATTACTGCCAATTGAATCAACTTTAAACAAAGAAGACATTGGATATGTTGGTTCCAAACTCTAGATGAATTTTTTCAAATAGACACT